AATGAATGTCCGCGTCCCCTACATAAAGAGACTCAAGCAAACGGGTTGATGTGAATGCGACCAGGCGTGTGACGGCGCCTCAAGGGAAAGTGCGAAGAAGATCAAAGATCTAGCCTCTGCAACCTGGGCAGGCTCGAACAAGAGTTCTCTGTTGACCTTGCTAAGATTCGAGTGGAATCTTGCCACTTGACGCATAGATCAAGAAGACATTTACGCAAGAGTTGTAAATGTTTTCAGAGTGTGGGATGCTCCAATCTCCACAGCAGAGCAATATCTGCTTAGAGCACTATTGCACAATCATAGATTTGCAGTACTAGTACATGTGCCCAAGTCGAGGTATTTCTACTTGGAATTTGGCTCAACTCCAACACCTGCTAGATGGCAATTGTTATCGTCTCAGTTTGTCCTTGTCGACTATAGTCAGTTGAAAGCCACGGATGAGATGGCACATCATGACTTCCTTTGGTTGGACTGCAACAGCTTCACGAACTTAACCTTCGGAAATGAAAAAATATTGCAAATTTCTCAATCAATCAGATCGCTAAAGTCAATGTACTTGCGGGAAAGATTCAACCGACAGGGCATCGAATGTCCAATGAATCACAGAAATTTGACATTACATCAAACCTTATAGTGAGAAGTTACACCTCGTTGTCCTGCGAAAGGGCCGGTCAAGATGCGGAAAGTTACGCTGAATCATGCAAACAGGAATGTTTTTGGATCGAACAGACTGCATCAAATTTGAATCAATGTCTTGGACTGACCCGTCCGTCTGATATGGTCCGAGTCACATCTGAATTTGCCGTACTTTAGCAATGACAGCAACACTGAGCAGAGAGCCACTAGAGAGGCCAGAAGCTCTTCAGATGTACTTACTCCGTTCTTTGCCGTGCAGAAGTGAGCAAATGCCAAGAATTTGCGCAGACAAGTCAGTTTAAAGCTTTACCGTTTTTTTGGAACTTGTTTTTGGATGTCATGCTGTAGAGCAAAGTGAAATGTGCATTGCAAGTTTGCTGGAGGTGTTGGCCTTCAGATCGCGAAGCATTGTGGTTAAATTATAGGCAGTACACATACAGCAGGAGAAGAGCTGCAGCCAAGCGCCTATTGCAACCGAATAAGACTTGTGGATGGTGATCTTCCCTCAGACAAGACACGAACATTGAAGGCTTGAGAAGGGGCTTGAAGGGCGTAAACCGCTTGAAGCGTGCCCTAACAAGGATGGTTTACAGCAGTGGCTTGTTCCCGGAGTTTAAGGTTTGAGATACCGCGTTGTGTCGCAAAGCCCAAAAACAGCAGGCTACCGCGGAGATTACGCGGCTTGCTAAGTACCTTGCAGCGGTATGACGTGGCTCTTACGTGGCTAACGGTGCCTTACGTGGCCCTAATTAGCCAACGGTACTTGGATAAGTACCAAGTGAACATAAAGTCCAGTCCTCTGCGTCAGGAAACCAAGCAGAAAAAAACAAGCCAGCTGCACAGGACAAGGCGCCGCGTGTCAATGCAAGAAGAGAAGTTCTTGGCAATTGCGTGTCAGTTCGGTTCTTCAGCGATTGCATTTGCGATGCCGATCTTCCTTCTGAGGGAGAAGACAGCAGTAAGTGAGAAGTCTCTCTAGCAACTGACTTGCCTCAAGGCCACGTGTTAGATCCACAAGCAATCGCCCGTCGGAGACAGACATGTTGTCTTTTCATGAAACCAAGTTTGAAACGCACGCGATCTGTCTGGCCTGAGCTGGCAAGCTGGAAGACACGCACAGTGCCCCCCCCCGCCCTCCTCTTAACCTTCCTCAAATTCAATCTTGAGAAGCCCCCCTTCTAAGCCCCCCTTCGTAAAATTCAGACAGATCATGCCCCGAGAAGTGGGGGTGGCGTTCGTTACAGAAACTGCCAGAGCAAGACCTTGAGAGATTCTTGAATCCACATCATGCACTTGCGATTGTTGGAAAAGACAAATCACACGTGAGGATGATTTCAAGCGTGTGATTACATCGTGCCTCGCTTAGACTCCGTTATCTGCAGCATCAGAACGCACAAGAAAGACACTCTTCTCCCAAATTGAAAAGATGTAAACCGCCTGCTGCCTCTGAATCCGAGCCTGCAGGAACGCCGTTTGAGTTTCAAGAGTGTTAATAGGAGGACAACTAGAACTTCGATACTTCTATCTAGGTGCCATAGCCTCAAAAAAAACAGGGAATTTTTAAATCAACAATTTGTCTACGGTCATCGGCACGCGTAATGGGAGTGTCCGCTCGGGCTGCGGTGCCACCATAAAAACCTTGCCGAATCACCAAGCAAATTGAGCACGTCATGATTTTTCCCAAAAGAAGCGTAAGATGCCAAAAAAATGCAGAAGCTAAGACCTATCACCCAGATCCAAAAGAACTGCAGCGCATGTGGCATAGACAACTCTCAGACTATTGCGGAGCAACTACATACCCTCTCACCTTGTGCTGTAATATGATATGAAAAAATCCTGTTACACTATCGAGTTGATTCTTTCGCGGTGATTCCACAGCGCTAGTTTTGTTCGACGCCTTGAATGTGCTCCTCTCCACTGCGGCCGCTCTTGTAGCGCAAAATGTCGTGGATAGTTGCTTATTCGGAGTGAAATAACCAAGATTATCCACAGAATCTTTGTTGGAAGTGGGCAAGGCACACCTTCTAAAATCTGGGCAGAGGAGGTTCCTCGATTGGGGTTCAGTGTTGGAGTGAAGGGTTGTATGCGGACGTTCACAGATGGCAAGGTACAGACGACGATCGTGGTAAAGTGTGCGGGGTTGGGCTGAACGCAGCCTGTTAAACATAGGGACCGTTGCATTTACATTTCCAGACAAAATCGTGTGTGCCAATATCAGGCACCAGCGTCTTTCGCAGAACGCGTGCTGCAACCGCTAAGAGATAAAGGACTTGCTTGCAAAGCATGACATGACAGAATGCTGGAGCTAGGTTAGTGGCCACTGATTTGGGGTAAGTACGTTCGGGCCTCCAACGGGCGGATGATGTCCTCGCCCATCAGCATTACCTATTTGGGATCCCATTGGGTTCCTGTTCTGATTTGCCCCCCAGGGAGAAACAAAAAAAAAACAACAAATACGACAATAGATGTTAGGATCGGGACTCTAGGCCGAGGGCCAAGTTATTCTAGTACATAAAGTTGATTTGCAAATTGGGGTTGCCATTGTGCAAAGATGAATGCAAAATTTTGGTCCAACTACCCAAACAACTGCTGGCATCTAACCCAAGTAGTTCCTCTGAAGTCTGAGTTACAAGTTAAACCTTAAACCTGAACCCGAAACCCTAAACCCTGAGTGGCAGTGACAAGGAGACCTGAGGGATGACGTGTGGGCATACGTACTGGCAACCTGGGAATTTAGAAATAATGGGAAAGAGAATGGAAATTACCATTTGGTTTATGGTTTAGAAGTTATTTAGGGATAACGGAAAACAAAGTGGAAATTATTTTATAATGATAGGGTCTATATAAGAATAATGGAAGGATAATGCCGTGTGCTTACCCTTTACCAACCGAGTGTCAACCCAAACACGCAAGATGCCATGAGAAAATGACACTAGCGTGTCCTCGTGTTGCCTTATGTGCAGCTAGGACTTCTGTTTCTTTAGTACAAAATGTTTTTTTTTCACCTCGATGTCTATGCTTGCTCATTGCAAATTTTGCCATGTTTTCCTCGTGTTTTGTCAGGGCAGTCATATTTTCCCATCGGCATGCGGTATTACCAGCAAGAATGTGCCCATTCATTCCAAGGGTCGTAAAGGTGAAAATCCAAACTTTGCTTCGCCATGTTGGACCAACCCTCTGACCCGTGCAAGTGTTATTGAAATGATTAGGTCCCAATGACATGACATTTTATACACTTCTTTTGTGCAATTCTGAAACCCTTGGCCTGTGCAGGCAAAAATTACAGCACCGTGGTGGACACGTTGAAAAAATACGAATGTCCAGTTTGTGCCTTGTGCGTGCATCACATTGCAAAGTTGCACCCATGCGCACGAGATCTTACTTTAATTCACAACACGATGCCAAGACCCACACATCGTTGCGGAATTTTCTTCATGCCATATTGTTGCAAGCTCAAGATGCAATACTGTATTCTTGCCGAAGGAATGTTTTGGGCGTAGCCATTTGTCACAGCAAATCATCATATTGCAGATTGTCATGCCACAGTTCAAAGGGAAAACAGCTCCAACAGCTAGCCTGAAAATGCACAAGCAGCAACAAAAACATTGTGTTGCATGCGGCTGCAAAAGTCACGTTCCATTATATGATATACGCAGCGATTTGTTCTGTTTTCGCATCGCGCAAGTCACCTGATTGTGGTTGCATTGGCCCATGTTTAAGGACAGCTTAGTGCTTTTGCTTGTCGATGTGCTGCAGAAGATTTCACCAAATACTTAGCCGTTTCGCAAGTCAACATCTGTCATGTTGGCACTTCTCACATTGTGAGCAGTATTGATCAGGACAAAGACGACACTGAGGCAGCATCGATGTTGCTGTTGTGGCCATAGGTCTACTTCATGTGACTGTTTGCACTCGCAGCAGCTTGCTTGCCTTGGTTGAAAAATCTTCATGTTCTTCGTCTCTCGCTCAACTGAATTTACGTGGCAGGTCGAGATTGTCAATTCCAAGATAGCTGAGTGCGACGTGCAATTGGTCTGGGTTTTGGGTGAAGCATGTTTGACCATGCGGCGAAAACCAGTCCATACTGCAGTTGACACTTGTTCAAGGTCCACCGCCACTTTAGGAACTTTGTCATTCGATTTTGTGGAGACTTTGCACGGACCATCAAATGAAGTTACAAGCAAGCACATGATTGAGCGATCCATGCAAAGCCCATGCGTCCGGCATGGCCTCTCTTGTGAGGGCCTCACTTCCTGAGGCCAAGCTCAAACATCGTGAGGACTGGCATCTCAAGCAATGAGGTTAAACGCAGCAGCCGCTGCACTTTGTACCATTTCTTGGAGTTCCGAGGATTGGGTCAGGCGTGGTGACTGGAGAGCAAGTTTCTTGCAAACAATTGATGTCAGCCAGGGCTAGTGCGGATCCGCCGCTTTGTGAGCATGATGTGCGATGCATCTTTGGGCTCAGGCACAGGACACTATGTTGGTTGTTTTGCAAATCAGCTTTAGTGGAAGTTGTTCACATTTCATGCCAGGTCGGCTGACTTGATTGCACTGCTTCGATCGGATCCGTTGCATCCCTGGGAGAAGGTTGGGACTGGAATTGCTTGTACAACTTCACGGCTTTGGGCTTTGCGCTTGATTCCAGGCACCCCCCCAGCTGCACCTTTGTGGTGTAGCTTGGGCAGATCTGCCCCGGGCAGCAGACCAAGATGCCTCAGAGGCAGATGCGCAGAAGGCAGGGCTGTTCGGATACACCAAAATGCTGCAGCACTTGACTGGGACTTTTGTTCTTCTTGCTCAGTCCGTCTTGGTGGGTGGTGTTGAGCTTCTGGCCCAATCCTGCCGCCCCATTCTGAGCAATTGGCTGGATCAGTGTTCAAATTGAATCCTGCGGATTGCCCTGCAGCTCTCAAGGTGCAGCAATACTGGTGTCAATCATGGCAGCTGTGGGCTTGGGATTGTGCTTCCTGAAGTACTAATCATTACGTATCATTCCTTGAGCTTAAATGGGCGGTCGCTGCTCAGGCTGTTTGCTTGGCTGCTGCATGTTCCGTGGTCGAAGTTCAGCGGTGCAGGCTCCTTGTCCAGCCCTGTCACCACTTTCACAACTGTGTGAAAACCTCCCTTGGAACGTTTGTGCAGATTTGGCAGTCTGCCAGTAATGGTGCAGGTCGCTGGAGCGCCTGGCAATTCTCCTCCTCGTGGCCCATGTCGTGCTAACGTGCATGGGATTTCTGGCACTGGCCACATGGTGTGCGATTCGGATGAAGTTGGGCCCTCAACGAAGTCTTGTGCATGAGCATGCAGGTCTGGCATATTTGTCAATCGCATCCTTTGCTGCCAAGGCCGTGGGTCGCGCAACTTCTCTTTATCACAACAGGAGGCCAAGCTGCGATTTGGCCGCACCAGCTCCAGGCTGGCGGGTCGCATTGGCACTTCCCAGCTTTGCAGAAGCCCAAGGATAGTCTTTGCGATTAGTCAACTATTATACAGCAGCGGCCTGCAAAATGTCTGGTCGTACTGCTTGGTTTTGCGTGGTTGTGAGAGACATATCGTGAGGGAATGTGCGAAAATCAGCTGTGCTTTTCTCCTCAGATTTTGCCTGGGCCTGGTGCTGGCTGCTTCGGGGCTGCAGGGCTCCTAAGCTTTTGCGCCGGGCTGGTGATGATCGGTCGACAGGAGGAGAACTCCACAATCCAAAGACACACCCTCAATCAGGTTTTTCCTATGAGCCTAGGTCTGCATTTGCTGGAGATACTTCCCAACAAAGGTTCTGAAGATGCAGACCCCAAACATGATCTCACCTGCCGGAGTCCCTAATTTTGGATTCAGCTCTATGTTTCTTGGAGGAGCCACAGGATGGCGTCAAGGCCGCCCCGGCAGCAGAACCACCGCAGCCGTCGGCACCACGTGCCAGTCAGCCAAGCCAGGCCGGAAAAGCTACTCGTGGTGGCTGAGGATACTTGGTAGTTTCTCCCCAAATTAGGGTGTACCTCTTTGGGGGTCCCTATAGCAAGGTTCACAGTATTTTGCGGTTTATATGGAGGTCCCCCATTCTGGCAAACTACCACTTCAGGTTTCCAGCTGCTAGGGTTAGGTTTTTAGGGATGAAGTGTTTACATGGTCTCATCTTGTTCCACTTGGCTTGTCGTGCAGGACAAGCTTGTGAAACTCGTTGTCGCCGCCTCGGCTTTGAGACACAATCAGCGGGATGCAATGCTCGGGAAACCCTGTACCACTTCATTGAATGCAGCCTTTTGCACTTTCTGTGTGCCTGAGGCGCAAAGACGCCGAGAAATAGTGCGCGAGCAGCAGCAGTGGGTGCTAGACCAAGTCTAGCACAAGCTTCCAGTATAAGCAGGAGGGAGTCATGTGTGCGTTTACTGCACTAATACAGTCCCTCGTCTGAAGCATGCATTGGCAATTGTCCAGAATACCGTTATGCTACCAGATTTTTTGAGTGGGTGGAACGTGTCACAGGCTGATACCTTGCTGGTAGGCCCGCAGCCCAGGGTGCAGCAGCTTCTGAGCAATTGTATGACATGCCAAGTGCTGGCAGCCCTGTAGCAGATAATGCGTGCTTGGAGCGGCAGCTTGCCTCAGGATGTGCAGCTTGCTTTGCGGTTCTTCTACTTTCAAGCCTCTGGATTGTTGGTGGGGGCCTGATGTGCTTTGTTTGTTCGTTTTCAGCTTCCTTTATATTGCAAGATCCTGCAAGCATCTGGTCGGGTGATTCGAACAATCAGGTCAAAGGGCAGTCGACCTTGGTGTATCGGACCCAGTTTTTGCCGCGGCAAACCTCCACCACGATTGTTACACCAGTGCCCCAGCCTTGTAGCATTTTGTACTTGCTGCTACTGTCACCCTAATGCCTTTACTTGCTACTGTTACAGCTCCTCCTTTTCCCGGGTGCAAGGTTGTGAAAATTCTAGTCTCTTTCGGGCACGCTCCATAGAAGGGGGCGTCTTATACAGAGCACCCACAAACGAACCATCATTTTGACAGCCCATCAGGTCAAGGATGCCTTGAACAAGCCGACCTGGAGACGAGGGAGGTCAGCTCTTTGCACGGGGGCTTTGCAACAAGAATTTGTCAACGTAAATGGGACTTTCAGGCACCATTTCTATTCCGAGCTGGCCTGTTTGTGCCAGCATCGTTTCATTTGCTTCCATGACTGCTTCTTCTGGATTGTCTCCCTGCGACTTTGTGTAGGGTGAGTGGCAGTGTGGAGGACGAGCTTAAGACTTGTTCTAGATCTTTGCCATATATTATGGCTCTTGAAGGGACCGAGGAAGAACCACCAAACAATAGGTTCCATGTTTTGCAGTGCCCATGCTGCGAATCAATGCCCATCATGTCCCCTTCTCTGTGTGTTCTGGCACAGTGTCCAAGTCTGTTTTGTGGCAGGTATCCTGGTGGTATTCCCTGGCATGCTGAAGAATACCGTGAGGTGGCGTTCAGTTATGTTGCCGACGCCGTTGGATTTGGTACTTTCATAGTCTAGAGCTGACGAACCTCTCCATTGTCCTGATTACAACGATCGCCCACTTTGTGTAGATCTAGCCAAATTGAATGGTCCTGTTCCTCTACAGCCGCAGGCATGGCGTGATGTGAAAGCTGCCAGCATTTGTGCCCTCCTCAGGGAACAGATTGCAAAAGACAACGCGGGGTCACGGCTCTTTCTGCTCATGTCATAGCATGTCATTCACGCTGAGGCACAGGAATTCGAACTGCCATAAAGATCGACGACTTCCGGAAGTCTGCCTGGAGCCCAGCTATTGTCGTGAAGCTGATGGATTGTTCAGGATGCTACTTTTCACGCTGAGAGTTGGCCTTGTTGCCCACTCTTTGCAGACAGCAGAATGCATGCTATGTTGACATCATCTTCATTAGATGACGTAGCTGCTGGCGGGCTGTTGCTCCAGTGAAGACGGTACACTCATAGCCTCATAGCTTTACCATTGCAAGGTCCAGCGGCATGCGGACGAAACTGCGCAGCAGTTGAAGAAACGATTCAGAAGTGGCCGCTACGAGACCGCCCAGCAGGGCGGCTAACTTCGAGCAATGAAAAAATGTGGATATCGATGTGCGTTCTGCAGACTGTGTGGAAACCCCAACTCCCCAGTGTTGATGGCATGTCGGAATCTGCTACGTGCCGCCCTGGAACTTGCACACGCATTATTGGTGCTAATCATCTAGTCGCTGTTGGCAGAGCTGTTGCAGGCATTTTTGTGGATCCGTGCCAAAACTGTGAGAACATCAGGGGATTAAGTTCAGGACATGACAGTAGTGCATGACACAGTGAAGTGCCCGAGCAGATCAGGGACCAACGAACGAGAATTCCCTTGGAATGTGGGAAAAATGCTGTAATTGTCAGAATATCTGGCTGCGGTCCAGACATGTTTACTGACACCACAGCAGGTATGAGGAGTTTGTGGAGAATGTCTTACGAGCAAACCACAGGCGCTTGCCTTGGAGCGGGGAGGACTTGTCAAGTCATACGCAGCAAGAGCCTTTGCTGCTTCGTTCTGCGTGCCTCTTTCCTCGACGTTGTTGTCGAGGCAATCACTGAATAATGGTCTGCTTGCTACTTTCCTGTTTTTCCATTGCTTTCCAACATTCTTGGTATTGTCGTTGATGCTCACCAAGTTTATATCGCCGAGGAAATGCCTGCTGGAGTGGCAAGAAGCCGCAGAGGTGGTTGAACAGTGGGACGCTTTGCGCGACTGTGATTTTGCCATGCCTCCATAAATTTTGGAAGCTGCAGAGAGCATGTACGCACAGCCTTCAGAACCCTAAACCCTAAACCCTAAGCCCTAAATAGTAGTTTCCATTCTCTTTTCCATTATGCCAATATAACCCCTCTAAAGCTCCAGTCTCTTCAGAGCTCGCTGCACAGTTTGCCCTGCTCGCTGAGGTGCAAAGATTTGCGACAGAACATTTCCATGCTGATCAAGGTTGCGGGCCTGCCGCCAATGGCTGTGAAGAACTCTTGGAATTCCATTGCTCCCTCAGACAGGAGGACGTTTCCGAGCTGGAAACGAGTGTCGAGCTGGGCTGCCAGTCGGGGCTCCAGTTGACAGGGTCAAAGGGCTTGGAAATCTTCACACAACACAGGAACATTAGCTAGAGAACCTGCGACATGTTGCGCATTTTCTCCGAAGACTTTTCGCGTAGCATTTGACGCCAAAGTTGCCTCGGCACTTGGTTGCCACGTGTTGCCACAGAGAGATTCGGAGAGTGGACAAGCCAGCGGTCGCTGGTTCCAGGTTTTTCGTCAAGGCGCTGGTTCCAGATACTAGCTGCATCTTTGTGGACGTAGGTGTCGCCGACATGTTGTGTCTCCGTGCGTGGGGAATTTTGTGGGCTTGGAGATGGCTTTTAAAGCTACCAATAACATCCATGAGAGAGAGCTCATCCTTCTTGTGTTTCTTATGCTATCAGCGTTTTGTCGTTCAGTGGCAACGCACCAGCATCGGAGGTAGAAACTTGGCCGGGTCAGGTTTGTAGACTGCAAGGGTCCAAGATGCTTTGTGCCTTGATCCGGGCCATTTTAGACCCTCCCACACTCAGGCCGTACAGAATTAGTCCGCCCGTCACCTGAGTGCGGAGCAGGAAAGATCCCCCTACTCAATCCTTTGCCGATCAAGGACGCGCCAGGGCCACGTGCAGCAGTGATGTGCTCATTTGTCTTGTGCTGCTGCTGTTATCATAATGACTACTTTCGCTACATGTGCTTCTGCTGCAGAACCTCTAGAATTGATTTCAAATTAGCACCGCTCTTGCTTTGATCTTTATCCCTACTTGTTGTCCTAGATTATAGATGTTTCAAGCTTCTGTGCCAGGCCTGAATTTCAGGCTTGAGATGCCCCTTGCGGATGCTGA